CGTTTCAAGCCTAGGTTAGAAAGTAGGAATATTCATTTTCATACATGTACCAAAAAAATTGCTCATGAGGGATTTATCATTAAATGGAAGCAATATCTAATTTCAATTAATACGGGAATGGGGTGTGCGATAGACTTACCTCCACGTGGTGCACCCTGGGCAACGTATACTCATACGGCAAAAAGGTCTACAAACCGGCAGTTGATTTCTGACTTCAAACTAACACGACCCCCTTGGTTGTCATATTCGACCCCTTCCACAGTACTCACCTTACCTTTTTCTCTACCTTTGTGTCTGTCTGCCTCTTTTACATCTGTGAATCGCTCTTCTGTTCCCCACCCCTCGACTTTCTGCTACTTTGATGAACCTTCCCTCTGTGAAGCCCGAAGTCAGCTAAATGGCTAATGATAGCTATCATAACGCCTGCCATTTGAAATTAATAAATAAATTAATACAGGAATAGTCATTTATGTATCCAATGTATCATAGGCGTTTGGTTTTATCCTGTGTGGTGAGTTTTAAATTACCAAATAAAAAAGAGATTGCCTTGCCTTTATCAGTACAATCAATAACAATGGGTTCGCCATAAAGTATCCTTTCGGCAGTATCCACAGTATGTAGGACTCGATGAACCAGCCAGAAACCATCCAGAAATAGGGCAAAGCAGAGGAGGTGAATCCAATTGAGCTGGAAAACGGAAACAACACTGGACTCCGCGGTTGACTTGGAATTGGTACTCTCCGATTGTTGACTAGTCAATGGACGCTTCTTTTTATTCGGTGATTGGAGGAGATCTTTCGGCCAGTCAGTTTCACTCTGGTCCAACTTTGGCTCGTTGTCTTCATGAGCGGACCACGCTAATTGTTCATTTTCCTACCAGGTGCAATTAAAATGTAATATCACAGTCAACAGATCATGCTGAAATAAGCTTGTCGTGGGAGGGGGTAGAATTTATTACAACTTAATCCCCTAAATTCCGTATTCGAAACAAATTAAGTAATTCACATTCTAACTTTGATTATTATCCATCGGTGAGTACCTAGTGATGTAATCGTTGGCCATATTGATTAATTACACCTTGATGGGGTTGGAAGTACTTTTTCTCCCACACTAAATATTCGAGTTAATAAAATCTAACCTACAACTTTGAAGCCTAATTTCATTTTTCAATGAGGAAGTAGGATTGAGCGGACTCTAACCATGCGGTCAATTTAGCGTTCCAGCAATGATAATTCAGACGTCTTGATATTTCGTCTCTTAGATAGAAAGCTTACTACAAAAGTTTAGGTGCACTGATTAGAACCCGAACAATGGCGCTAAGAATGCAAATAAGCCATGATCACGCAAATATTAACTCTTTTAATCAGCTAATTGAAACAGCACAAGAACACCAAAGAGACATAAAATAATAAAAAAATATTTAAACTCACCCCCTCGATTGCATCAGAAACAAAGGGTATGTAAGAGGGTCCATATCTCGTTTCGAATGCTTCAGCATCTCCAATTCCATCGCCCGTGTCTACAACTTCATTCCAAACAGGTGGTGTAGGTATCCTCATTTTGTCTGGATCGAAATGAGGCAAATGCGGGGGCAAACTAAAATTCGGAGGTTCCCCACTAGGGTAGATAGATTCATGACCCTCTGACCTAGGCAGGAATTTAGCCCATTCGAGAAAGGGTTTCGTAGGATCGCCTGGGTCAGGAGCACCTTTTGTGAGTTTGACCACTTCGTCATAAATCAGACGTGCACCGGCCAGCCAATCTGAGGAAACAAGAAGTTTTCTAGTCGCATCCAGGTCGCCCCTAAGGCGCCTTAAAGCCCATTGAGCAGTTGTATTGAATGTCGACAGACCAGAATCAAAGGCGAGAATAGAAGCGGCTGATGCTTCTCGTGCATACTCAGCCACAGCCTGTGAGATGAGTACCCGACTTCTACGTGAAGCCGCCCTCCGAGAAGCGACATCGAACGCTTGTTCCATTTTATCGAACATTTTGTCGATGCCAGCGGAGCATGCTTTGTGAATTTCGAGGGCTTCTCGTTGTTGTCGACGTATTTCAACTTTGAGATAGGCGTTCATGGCATCTTTAAGAAGTTTCTGTCGGGCAATACTCACAACAGATTGACCGTGGTCGGGTCTTCCCATGCCATTCCATTCTGCCATGCTTGCCAATTGTTGTGCGGGCTCCCTGAAGGAGATGGAATAATAACTTAAATGGGATTAGTAATTGCATCACCTATGAAATTTAGATTTTTTCCAACTATATTTTTGTTATGAACCTTAAACTGCTCCGAGAATTGAACAGTGAGATAAGCTAATGAAGGATACCCCTACACGCACTTTCCGAGATTATTAATTAATCGCGTTCATCAATGAGACAACATTTATTTTCGATCCACGAAGATGCATTGATACCTTCATGTCCACAGGGCTAACCATAACGAGTCTCTTTTTGCTTCTAAAACTTTATTGAACTGAGGTGTGCGATAGACTTACCTCCTCGTGGTGCACCCTGGGCAACATATACTCATACGGGAAAAAAGTCTATTA